ACGCTCAGTGAGCGGAAAAATAGTTCACAACGCGTTGTGGTTACAGTAAAACATCCACATGGCGAAATTCGTGTTATGGCTCTAATGAAAACGCGCACGACGCGTTGTGGCAATCACAGAAAGACCAAATAGCGAAATTTGCGTCGTGGCTGACATGCTATTCGATCTCAACGCGTTGTGGCAATGAAGAAAAGCCATGACGCGTATGGAATATTATTTGATTACGACGCACACTACTTTCCGATATGGATCCTACTAGGCCTAGGCTGGAAACGTTTTGGTAGATGTTTTTAGGAAACATTTTTTAACAACAACAAATTACTGCATAACGTGTTTGTTATTATTAAATATGTTATATAATTATATAAATTAAAATAAAACGATATTTGTTATTTATTGAGATTACTTAAAATTTAAAAAAATCAACGTATTAAGTAATAAATTACCGAACACAAAATATCAATCATATGTAAATTACTTATAATTCACTTAAAATAATTGCGGATTTTAATTTTTTTTTTTTGACAATTTAAAATTCTTTTAAGTAATAAAAATATTTAACACAAACATAAATGTTGACAATAATGATTACCAATAAAGAACAACAATGTACTTAAATCAATTACTTATATTAGAAATTACTATAATTCAATTTTTGAACTTGAGCTTTCTATTCCAGCTTCAACCAACTTTTCAGTATCACCAATCTTTAAGACATATCGTTTAAGACGTCGCACAGTGTTTTAAGAACCTCGATTTTGTGACATGCCCTTTTTATCCCGAATTCCTATAAATGAAGCTATTATAAACACTGGAAAAATACTGAAAAATTACTACGCCTCGTATTTTTCGAGAAAAAAAAACAAAGTTGACCTATTTTAGAACTAGGAATTTAAAAAAAATCATCTAGCTCCTCTATTATTCATATTGTTTTAGTTTTGGTTAAAGGTTTATATATAGCTTTGTATTATACATCTTTTCACAAATTTTGAGCCTTCTAAAGCAAGCCGTATAGACCATATGACCTTTTTTTTAATTTTCGATTTCATTTTTTTTCTTAAGAATAACGGCGTATTCGGATAATATTTATACATGAAAATATTGAAGTTTGTTGTCCCTATGTAGAGTATTTTTAATGGAACCGAAAACCTCGTTATGTACGAGTTATAAACAAAAACATTAATTAAACATAATTCCGGTATTAAGGTTGTCACTTCCGGAACTGAGTATTTAAAAATAAAATGAGTTCCTATAATATATGTTAATAAGCATTCTTTTAACATATATTATATGACCTATTTATTGTTATTGGAGAACAAAGAGAATATAACTTATAGGTATGTAACTAATAAGACTTAAGATAGTTTTAGTTACAAAATATTTATGTATTACTAGCAAACCCGGCGAACTCCGTTTCGCCACCAGATGGCTTCGTTTTATGTAACATTTCGTTTGGTGATTAAAAGAAGTTTTTTTTTTAATTTTTCCTGAATTTTCTTTGCTATAAACCTCACGGAGCCCGAGACCTTTCCAACGAATGCAAAACCGTGGAAATCGATTCTTGCGTTCTGGAGTTATAGCGTCAGGAAGGAAAACCCGACTTATTTTTATATAGTAGATAAGGATTTACCGACTCAAAATCGGCAGTGTTATTTGTTGTATATTGCATGAACAATTATACGATATTGTGGAGTGACGATGAAAATAATCTTTTTGCTACTACATTTGTTCCGCTGCAGCTCGTGTTAAATGAAAGTTATGTTGTTTGATCTAATCCAGCCCCACAATCACATAGATACTGCAGACCTATTCATATTCAATATAGGAAGGAGAACAAAGAATCAATTCTAGCAGAAAAAGAGTTAATTGAAAATCAAATACCTAATTTGCAACTGCAAGGCAAAACCTCACAAGGTCATAATATACCCGTAAGCTTAATCTATAGAAATTTGGGATAAAAAGGGCATGTCACAAAATCGAGGTTCTTAAAACACTGTGCGTCGACCGATACTGCTTTGAAGACAGAGACTCGTTGTTCTTTTTAAGAAGCTGAGACTGTTTTGTTTCATTAAGTAACATTTCATATTTTTCTGTAAAAAAAATTGCGATCAGTGCTTATTTCCACAAACTCACATAATTTCTCGTAAAACACTTCTTTTTTTTATTCTTCATAATTAGCGCTAACATTAAAACTCACTCTCATAAACAGAAAAGAAATGAATAAAACTGATGTTTCAATGCGTCTTTGCACCCGGGCCGACACCGACAAGTTACAACCTATCCGTCGTGATATGGTTAAAACAATGAATGCTCAGAACGCGTCATGGCTTTTCTTCATTGCTACAATGCGTTGAGACCGAATAGCATGTCAACCACGACACGAATTTCGCTTATTGGTCTTTCTGTGATTGCCACAACGCGTTGTGCGCGTTTTCATTAGAGCGAATTTACTACTATATATATAATACGAATTTCGCCATGTGGATGTTTTACTGTTACCACAACGCGTTGTGAGCTTTTTTTCCGCTCACTGAGCGTTTTCGTTCTTTGAGCGTAACATATACACACCTAAATAAAAATATCTACTACATTTGGTAGATACGCTCTTCGCTACACACGCTCTCATTGACTGTTTTCAAACAATCTGACATTAGAGTCATACGCACACTGCGCGTAACTTGAGCCGTTTTCTTTACGTATCTTATTTGTTTCGCCCTTTCTAGGCGTTTATACAATCATCAAAGATTTCTTATAATCAACAAACTCCAATAAAAAAAATCCGTTCCTAAGTAACAATTGTTATTTTATTCTAGAAAAACGACGGGTTGCACTCCGGGAGTGCCGGCAGAAGTGAAAACTTGAATATTAACGTTGTGCATTTTTGATATTTTGGAATGGTTAGGGAATAATTTTGCACGAATTGCTTTAATTATCAGTATAAAAGTACTATCATGTATGTGGTAGAGTACAATATTTATTTATTGCGCTATCGTACACAAACATGACAATTTATATTTCATTAAAAAAGCTTATCTCTAAGAAAAATCAACTTACATGAATAACGTTTAAGCGCACTTAGCGACATCTATTGTAAAGAAATCAATTTACATGAATCACATTTAAGCGCACCTAGCGACATCTATTGTAAAAAAATGCATTTTCTTCGCAATAAAGCTGCCACGTGGACGTCCTAGGTAGAAACTTATTATTATAATACGATAAAATAAAATATTACTATGTTTCGTCCAATATATTGAAAGTCAACAACCTTTCCAATTTTATTGTGTGTCATGATGCGATCAGCACACGTGTTTAACCTGACGCGAGTTTAAAAATTTTCACCCATACAAAATAAAAGTGTACAACGCCGCTAAAGAAGTTTTCACTTCAATAATATATCCAGGCAACTAAACTGTAAGCGGAAAATCTCTTACTGAAAATAGATTACGACAAGGTAGTAAGAGATAGCATTTTGTCATTTATGCTGGACATTTGGAAACAATTTCTTCGACTGCGTTAAAGTTTGTATTTTGAAAATTCCAAATTAAACTAACATTTTTCTGGGATAAAAAGTATACTATGCCCTTAATCCAGGTAATAAATTATGCGTGTTTAATTTCATCCGAATTTGTTCAGCCGTTTTTACGTAATCAAGACACATAGAAACTTTCACATTTATAATATCAGTAGAATAGGATAGCGTTATTCAGCGAGACTGTTTAACTAAGAGATAAGATAAGAAATTTTATTTTCTAAATTCACATCATTATTATTATTTTTCTTAAGAACCTAACCTGAAAAATCACGACTAGAGAAAATATTACTAGAAAATATTCCACGCGGACCAGGTAGCAGACGGGACTCGAACCCGCACCCTTCGCTATTCGGGCGAATGCACTGACCATTATGCTATCGTGGCCCTGACGGCCGTGCCGAATTGTTTCTAGCCTTTCTTAAGCTACAAGGCAGCGCCATCTCTTCGCATTATAGGTAACCCACAATGTAAAATGAATACCTTTACAAGTATTAAACATTTAAATGAAGAAATAGCAATCACAGTTATAATATTTTCTAGTGACATTTTCTTTAGATAAAAACATCGAGCAGTTACATACTTAAAAAAATCAAAATTATAACAACAACTAGATTATACTTAAACTTTACCAAACAGGATTTAACTTGAACTATTTTAATATTAGTATATATTGGTTATCACTACATAGTATAAAACAAAGTCGCTTTCTCTGTCCCTATGTCCCTTTGTATGCTTAAATCTTTGAAACTACGCAACGGATTTTGATGCGGTTTTTTTTAATAGATAGAGTGATTCAAGAGGAAGATTTATATGTATAATACATGCATAATATAGTAGAGAAACACTGATAATTTTATAGGTTTTTAATGTAAGGTCGTAAATAAACACATTTTTTGCGCTTACATTGCAAACGCTGGCTGAACCCCACGAGATAGATCAAAATAATGTACTACAGTATTGTACACCTTAAAAAGGTCTACAAAAAAGTCCGCGATGGTATATGTCTATCTCTTAAGGATAACCCACAATAACCAATTTTTATCCTATACTTTTTACGAGAAATAATAGATTATTTACGAAGCGATTTTAAGCAATATAACATTCATCCTTATCCAATTAAGTACCTTAAATACATTGTGCATTTAATATAGAACAATTTGGCCCTTATTATGCATTAAAGCATATAATTTAAATGAATATTTTCGAAGATATTACAAATTTAAAATTCAGGGACATAGCGGTTCCGACGCTACCGGGCTTGGCGGCGCGTGCCTATTGTAATTGGGTATTAGAAGAATGTCATTGTGTATAATACAAGCCTGAGAACAAAAACTATAGTCTACACTACAGCTTTACACCGAAGCGAAGCGAGGGCGGGCCACTAGTAAGTTATATTGTATACTGACATATGGTTTTCTGTGTTGTCTACCAACAAATGATATTATTATTTTTAAACTCTACTGACCTGAATATATCTCATATAACGCCTGCACTTCCCGCATCTAGACAGCGCTTTCCCACTAGCTTTTAACGACGAAAAGTTGACTTCGAACAGCTGATCCATCGCCTCTATAGACCGCACGAAGTATTGGAACTTGCGTCGGAATATTTCGGCCGTATGCGTGAGAACCGCGTGGAAATCAGCTCGACCCACAGCTATGAGATTAAGTTGTTCTTCTACGGCCGAACGCATTGTGGGTAGTACTAGTTCAGGGTCAATCTGAAAAAGATATTCAAGAGTAAAAAAAACCCGACCAAGTGCGAGTCGGACACGCGCACCGAGGGTTCCGTACAAAGTCAATTTAATAACACTTTAAAATTTTCAAATATATTTTTTATTATATGATGTTACTTAAAATTTACGGTTTTCACAATTTTTCCTTTATCTGTACTATAAGACGTTACTTCGTACCAAATTTCAAGATTTCTATAGTACCCTGTAGGTTTTGATTCCCGTGACAGTTTCGAAAATTCGCGGAAATCTGCGACTATATCTTTTGATTGCTTTGGCTTAGAAGTTTGATTTTATCACAGGTCCAAGAGACAGCAGACATGAGTATTAGATATGAATTTCAGTTTAATACCTCCACGCGTTCCTGAGAATAACGGTCTTGACAGACAGACCGACGGACAGCAAAGTGATCCTATAAGGGTTCCGTTTTTTCCTTCTGAGGTACGAAACCCTAAAAAGACTGTCCGAAGTTTTCGTTCATTATCAGCCCGTTAATGTCCCCACTGCTGGGGCACAGGCCTTCCCTAGAGATGGAATAGGGAGTTTGGGCCATAACCCAGCACGCGGGTCCAGTGCGGATTGGCGGATGCTAACGACTACAGATGCACCAACGGCTTAACGTGCCTTCCGAAGCACGGAGGAACTCGGGATAGTAAATTTTTGGTCACCCATCCTATGACCGACCACTGCGAAAGTTGTTTAACTTTAACGATCGATGCCGAACGTGCTAACCACTTGCGTCAATTACGTTAGTTACGTTCAATTTGAAGTTACACTTCAAAAAGTGGATAGTCGTAATTGGCTTTCAAATTGTACATCATTGATTGTAAATCCAATATATAATTAAGCTGTGTACTGTCTCTTAAATAAATACATACAAGATCTGCGTGTAAGGAAGCTCTATGACCAGGGGGCCAAACGCCTAACAGGATTGCTAAGGCTATCGTTATCGCATACGATTTCATTTTGTTTTATCTGATCGCCGAAGGTTTTCAAATACCTTACGCTTTTTTTTTAAATATTGGCATTTCAAAACCTTGGACGGTAAGTAATAATAACAAATTGAAATTGTAAGCGATAGCGATAGCTAAAGCAATTCCGTTTGGCGAATGGCCCCCAGCAGTGAGGACTAACCTTCTGGTACCCATGTACTAGCACGATCCCCAGATTGGTAGGCACCAATCGTCTGGCATTGGCCACAGTGACGTAGTTCCGCTGGCAGATATTGTTGATGTGGACTGGAATCGAAGCGTCAGTACCGATGCCATGCTTCTCCATTAATGTTATCACCTAATCAAAATTATTTCTATTTTATTATGTTATATTATTAACATAATAATAATTAATAAATACAAACAAATATTTCCAACACTAACACCAATTAAGTAAGCACTGTAAGGCTTGTGTTATGGGATACTAGGGTAACGGATAGAATACATATACAGTACATATATAAGTACATGTATATAGAAATACATATGAAACATTCATGACTGGAGTACAAATGCTCGTATTCATCACACAAACATCTGCCCCCACCGGAATTCGAACCCGGAACCTCACGAGTCGGCGTCACCATGAAACCCGGCGTAGAAACCACTCGGCCACGGAGGTCGTTCTTTAATAGCCTGCGCAAACGAGGAGCTATTGTTCAGGGTTTTTTTTTGTCTGCCAGAATTGATCGCTCACAACTATAATAATAATGAATTTTATTTTCTCATCACAAACAGTTTTACACAAGTTCCATGTAATCATAACAGTAAAGGCACAAATGATAAGTTTGTGTGAGACTGATGCCTGAGATAGGTGTGGTAACATACCTGTTTTACAGGTCATCAGGCTCCCACCACCTTGGTTTATAAGAACAATTATTATGATTTACAAAAATATCTAGTTACTATCTATTATTATTTACTATCTATCTATAGTGTTTATGACAAAAATCAGTTAAGACGAGTGTATGAATTAAGAGAAAAAGAGTGTAATGTGTTATAAAGTGGTGTCACTGTGTGGTGTTGAAACATACAATAATGTTTTCATGTGGTACCCTACAACTTATGTTGTTTGTGGTAGTTAGAATTTGGAGAAAATGTGGGTATTTTGTGAACTTATGTGAGAGTGTACAAATAATCCTCTGTCTGGACATAAACAACTGCATCGAATTGGTATTAAAACAGGTTTAAAACACCCCGCGTACGAAAATTCGCCCGAATAACCGAGCCACTAAGGTTCGTATTAAAGAATGACAACTAAGTGTCGATCTTTACTTGAGTACAGTTAGAAAGGGATGTCGCTATATGCTACATATAGCATTATCCCTTTCTGACTACGCTCAAGACTAGATTAATAAGTACTTGGGTGTCCCCGAAAAAAAATAGAACTCATGTGGCGCAGAAACGAACACAGCTAAATTTAGTCCGCGTTGCGCGCTTTAAAAATATGGACTCCCTTTTTGAAATTCATGTTAATAGGCCAAATTTGACCAAATGAAAATAATGTACCAAAATGATATTTGGCAAGTTTTAAAAAACGATCTCACGTTATTTACTTATGTTTGTAGAGTCCATAAAAAGTGGATATTCATCATTCTGTTGAATAATTCAGCAAAAAAGACTTCATAAAGTTATCATGTGACAAAATCCTTAAAACCCTTTTATATAGGTATTTAGTGTTTGTTTTTAAATGAGTTATATATTATTAGTTTAATAATATTTATTTGTAAAAAAAAATGTACATAGTAATAAATTTTCTTTTAAATATGTTAAAACTAAGGCCATTCTTTCACACAAAATACATATACACATCCTCAGACAAATCAGGAATTTCATCCTATATTTAAAAAAAAAAGGCTTCAGCGCCCTTCTTCAATTTTAGTTGCTGATGTGTAGCGGTGGACTGTACTAAGCTAAATAGAAATTATGAAGGAAAACGACACGTAGCAGTAAATAAAATATAACACGTGTTTTCAATATATACGTTCGTAAGCAGTAGTAGTGACTAGGCAATAAAACTATCTATCAAAGAGTAATGTCAAAAGGTGACGTACAAAAGTACAAAAGATTTAAAAAATACATAATAATATGAAAAGAGTTTAATAGCCACAAACAGTTGCAATGTAGCCATATAGTCCAATTCAAATAAGAATAGGAAAGCCAATGACCCCCAACTGTCAAACGTCGCTTGAAAAGTACGGTTTGCAAAAAAATATTGGAACCTTTTTTTGCACTCAGCTAATTAATTATAGAATAAAAACCAAACATTTGTAAACAAATAATAACAAATATTGTTAATTAATATTGGTTGATATTTTTTTTTTCATTTATTGAGCTTCGGCTATAAATGGTTGATAACCTAAATGGTCAACTAAATGTCACTTTAAGTTGCGTTCAAAAACTCGATTTATTATTTTCCGTTTACATGAAGGATGCATGTTCGTATGTGACCTGGTAATAGTGCATGATTATTCATAACTACTCCGGCGGTAATGCAGATCTGAGCGGAATTGAAGAGCTAGTTCCTTATTAATGTTTTTTTCTCACACAGTTTTCATAAAAAAATATTATTAAATATCGGTTGTCTTAGTAATTAAATTTTATTAATAAATCGAATGTTTTTTCTTACCTTATCTTATCTTCTTAAATTAGTTAATAGTAATCTTAGAAAATTAGTTTTATGAAATAAAAACTTTTTTTGCTCACTATACCTATTTGGTTTGAATTTACAACTATGACGGCACAATATGGCGTCCAGTCGGTCCTATTCTTAGTTGAATAGCATTATACAAATAAATATTGAAATCTACATACCTCAGACTCGGTGAGGTACTCGGGCGGCGATGTCTGACACTCTACAAGTCTATGGTCGTGCGCGCGCAACAATTCATCAACGTGTAACACTGGAACAAACTCGTCTTTGCCGAACGCCTGTAAAAAAGGCGACATTGGTTAAATTTTCTTCTAAATCCATCATCATCATGAACCTAATAATTCAATATCGTATATTTAATCTAAAACCACTTGTGAATGTCGAAAAGGTACGACATTGGTTCGCAAATCTACGGCGGGAGACCTTGTACTGAGAAGAACCGGCAAGAAACTCGGCAAGGGCTGTTTTTTCTCCCTGTATTATATACAGTCGTCAAATTGAAAAATGAGTTCAATATGGGATAACTAATAAAGTCACTTTCCACTACAAATGTAAATGATATAAAAATTATGACTATAAAAAAAACTTAAATAACAATGTTTAGGAATGCCGTGTCCTACTGTTTAGAGGCATAAAAAATGATCAGATTAAAGTTAAATATAAAGATTAATATTACCAAATGTAGCAAGAGCAGACTCATCTCAGTTGGCAGCACCATTAATGTCCCCCTACTGGGACACAGGCCTTCCCCATGGATGGAATCTCCCTAGATTGGGCCATGTCCCACCACGCGGGCCCAGTGCGGCTTGGCGGGTGCTGATGACTGCAGATGCAGCCGGGACCAAAGGCTTAACGTGCCTTCCGAAGCACGGAGGAACTCGAGATATAAGATCTTTGGTCACCCATCCAATGACCGATCACTGCGAAAGTAGCTTAACTTCAACGATCGCAGCCGAACGCGCTAACCACCTGCGCCATCGAGCTGCTCAAAATTAAATCCATACTTACATCTAAATCTAAAGAATATATCCTTTAGATTTACTTATCCAGCAGTTAAGTGCTTAAAAATATGAATATAACTGGCCGACTCGGCGAACTTCGTACCGCCCCAAAAGTAACAATTTGCAATAGAATAATATTGCCACTATATATTGAGATGTAAGGTATCCTATCTTTCAAGTTGGATCAAACTGCACACGGCGTGCAAATTTGATTAAAATCGGTTAAGTAGTTTAGGAGCCCATCCCGGAAAAACAACGTGACGCGTAATTTATATATATTATGAAGATAATCATACTAATATGTTTGTAATAATAACATTAGGACATCTAAACAGCTTATCCGATTTGATGAATTTTGGTACAGCCAACCAAACATCAGTTTCAAGACAATGAAGAATAATTCTCAATCATTCATTGACCCCAAATCCATTGGCGTAAAGCTCAAAATCTGTTGCGAGAAACTTGGTAGATTCTGACATCTTGACCTGTGCCCTTAGCACGAACCACTAGCGAATTTGTATCGTTTGCGAGTACAAAATGTCATTGTCAAATGTGTACTGATTTTGAGTTCTCGTTTCGTCCATTGTGGCGTTGCTGTTCAAGTTTCCATGCAAATTTTGACAATGACATTTCGCACTCGCAAACTATTCGAATTCGATATTGGTTCGTGCTAAGGGTACTGTAGCTGTTTGTGCGAAAATAGCAGAGACCTTGAGAGACCAACATTTGGTTGGTGAATTTAGAATTAAAAAATGGCCGCAGTTTTGTTCATAACTTGTTTCGGCCCAATGAGAATAAACCAACTAAAAAAAACGAGCGAGCCTTACAGTAGTCGCGTATGATGTGTAACATTTGAAACCTCACCTTATATTAGTAAAAAAAGCCATAAAATAAGCCATTTCAACATTATGTTCTGAAATCAAATCAAATACCGCGCGCTTCCCAAACTTCCTGTTACACACTTCCGTCCCACTTCACGTAATCACTCCCACAACTTGCACGAAAGCGAGAGGAAAGATGTTACACATCAAAAAACAAAACTTCGGTGTATAAACATACAAACAGAATAGATTTTCAAATGCAAACAAAACTTACCTGCCAATGCATGATCTCCGTATACCCAGCGTCGACGAGAGTGTTGCCAGTATAGTAGAAGGTTTCAGTACCTATCTGGAAGGTAGTTGTGGTTGAAAGGTACTTGCAATCCCTAGACAATGTCGCTATGAAGTGGCGAGTTATGTAATCGTATATACGCCACATTTCTCCTTCCAATTCACTTTCCGCTGCAAAAATAACGCTATCATCACCAGCCTATTCATATCCCCACTGCTGGGGCACAGGCCTTCCCTATGGATGGAATAATTGGGCCATGACCCACCAGACTGCAGATGCAGCCGGAACCAACGGCTTAACGTGCCTTCCGAAGCACGGAGCAACTCGAGATAGAAGATTTTTGGTCACCCATCCAATGACCGACCAATGCGAAAGTTAAATTCAACGATCGCAGCCGAACGCGCTTACCACCCGTGCCATCGAGCTCCTCCAAATAATGCTATACTTAGCGGCAAAGATCTATAGAATACAACTGTAAACGAATACCCCTTTATTAATGAACGAGGAATAAGGTTACACTAGTTACACCGTGTTTTGTTCATATCACTCAAATGCTATTTGTGATTCAATGAAAAGAGACTAGGCATAGAGTAACTCATCCAAACTCATAAGGGGGACAAGTGTTTCATTTTCCCAAAAGATCACTGCAATTTGTTGGAGTTTGCATTACTGTTGCAGCAATAGATTTGGACTGTCAATAGAACTATCGATACCTTGGAAAATGATACAATATCGATAGGCCTTATTGATAGTGTTGCGACACTAACTTGCAATTCGAAGAACAGACACTTTTTATAAGTCTTATAATTTGTAAATAAAACTTAATAAGTGTTTTATGAAATGGTTGGTATGCGTGAAAACATTAGGAACAACTAGACCGATGGTCCCCACTGCTGGGCACAGGCAGAGGTGGGCGTTTTTAGAATAACGATGTGCGATAACGATGCCAGATTTAGATGCGCGCACCCGATGCGACTGTTATCATTATGTGTCATTTAGTTTGTGTCAGAGTTAAAAATATCCACTTTTTATGGACTCCATAAACATTAGTAAATAACGTGAGATAGTTTGTTAAAACTTTCAAATTCCCTATTAATGTTTATATCTAAGACTCTAAAAACATATAGTATGGGCTGATATACTTACAAGCTGGCCTCATTGGCGTAATGGGCGGATGGTCCCCCGCGTCGTGGCCCTTCTTGGGTTTGTTAATACCGTTGGCTATTAAAGCTCGCACTTCTGTGCCCCACTTGGAAGAGTTCTGTTGTTGCCTTAACGTACCCCTGATAGACAATAAAAAAGTAACTGGTATACTTTATAGTTTTATTGTTAATTGAAGCATTAATCTGCTAAATTAAGAAAAATACCTGAACAAAACTAGAAAAAAAAATATAGTATTTTTCTTAACGCTCCGTTCAGGTTTTCAAAAGGATTTCTATAGATTGGTATATTTTTCTTCATAATGTTAGATAAGAGCCACATTATAACGATATCAAACACCCTAGATACACCACGTGCGCTCAAAATTTGTCCCAATCAAGAAGTGCTTGAACATCTCTCAAGCACTTCTTGGTTCATAGTCACGCGCGGACCGTTGAAAAGTCATGATGCCGCAGATCTTCGTCAAAAAATGCTTAAAGAATTCCTATTGTAAATGACGTCTTTCCTTTTTGTCGAATGAATGTTTGATAATTTAACGCATTGTTCTAATACTTACTATAAACTGATTTAATAGAAAATATTTGTGATATTCAAATGCATGGTCGGTAACATAGTCGTCTTTTTTCCTCGCGGTCCGGACCTGCTATATTGCTATCAGCGCATTCAAAATTGCGCGGAGAGTCAAAGAAATAAGGTCTATATTCTTCCGCATATAGCAATGCCGTAAAATTTTAAGAGCTTGCATTTCGAACTGTCATAACTCTTTAACGCATTCGTTTTAAGACATTATACATAAAAGGTGAATTTCAATGTTTAAATAATGCCTTATTTTATTTTATTAAATAATTAATTATAATTTTTATTTTATTTTAAAAAATAATATGAAAGAAACATTAAAGTTTTGCTATGTCAGGCCGTCTGTTGACCAAGTGAGACTTTAGTACTAGAAAGCTGCAATTTGACATAGATATACAAAATTATGAAATAAAATCTTAAAAAAAGAAATTGTACTCACATCAAATCGAAATTCTCCGGGTAACTGGTGGTTTCTGTGCGTGGATACGAAATGTAACCTTGCGTGTATAGTCGTTCTGCTATCTGAAGATAATTAAGACAAAATGCTATTAATATTTCTTACTTTCGTAAAAACACTGCCATGAAAGTGAATGTGTTTGTTCATAATTAACCCACATACCCACAATTGAAGAGGTAATAGTCTCAGATGCATAATGAACCCCTCAAACATGTGCTCCCAAGGATTGTGTAATCTTAAAGTTAAAGAATCCTTAACAGATAAAATTAAAAAAAAAGACATTTACGAAAATTTATTACTTGTAAGGAAAAATATGAACTTGTGTCTTAAAAACAGTGATGTTCACACACTTAATACAAGAAATAAAAATAAACTAACTTTACCTGCTACTAAGCTTTACAAAATCAATAATACATATAAAGGTCTTTGTGTTTGCTTATACAATAAAGTCGCAAGCAATATACGAGAGTTAACCGTAAATAAATTCAAAGATAGTAAAAAAAATCACATTAAAAAAGCTTATTACAAAGTGTCTGATTATATTACAAACAAAAAAGCTTGATAGTATTAATAATTTATTTGCAGAAATATGGTTACAAAAGGTGTAAGGTGTTGGGTTTGAACTGTCCCAATCATTACAACAGGTTTTCTAATCAATGAAGATATATTGATATCTGATTTTTGATCGGGGAATGACACATCATCTGCAGACATATTGAAAAAGGAAAAATTACCAGGATGTGTAATACAGTGAATGACTGGTCATCTCACATTATGTGAGCCGGATGTAACAAAGTTAGCACTCATAAGCAAGGCCAAGTAACTTGTCATGCATATCATGTATTTTAAAAAAACAACTTTCAAGAGGACAGAACTAGTAAAACCAACAAATTAGAAATAATATGAACTGAGCTAAAAAGTGGATCCATGCAAACCACATTGTAGGTACTGTTATTATTTTTATTTTTTAAGCATGTAACTGTTTAATATTTGTAAAAGTATTAATCTGACATTGTGGGTTACCTGTAATGCGAAGAGATGGCGATGCCTTGCGGCTTAAGAAAGGCTAGAAAGAATTCGACAGGGCCGTCAGGGCCGCGGTAGCGTAATTGGTCAGTGCATTGCCTGATATTTTTTTCTAGTAATATTTTCTTCATATTGTACTTTTTTATTTTTAAGTAAAACAAAGAGAATTTTCATATCACCTGCATAGCATGATGCGGTCCCATGCCTAATCCAGCGCTGGCCACTCTCATTAATTCCACAGTGTTCAGAGCTGTGGGGCGCGGTTTTATCTTCTCTTTGGCTTGGACATTCACAACTCTATGGAATGAAAATTATATACATATATATTTACTGGAACTAATTAAAATTAGATGTTAATTTAGGTTCAAATATTAATTTCTGGAACTTTGTTACAGCTATTAGAAAATATAATAAAATTAGGTACCTATACATTTTCAAAATACTAGAATTTTTCCAAAGTTCATAAGTAGATTTTTGTAAATCTAATATCTTAACATAGAATATATGCTACTTTTGATTCATTTATATTGATAATTAAAAAAGACAATTATTAGTTTTTAATGGTTTTGATATTTGTACAAGTTTAACAGCAAGAAGAAAATGACTAGTTTTTTATTAATTCTTCATCCCTATATATCATATCTATTTATTTTGTAAAAAAATAGAAACAGGCTTAAGCCTGAACTTTAACAGATCCATAAACTTTTCATCACTGTCAAATTTCATATGGAAGGAGCCAGTTTGTTCTTATGTCTGGTAGGGGTGCTGCTTAGTGTTTATAGAAACTTTGACGATACAATACGATTACGGAGTCATGTCAAAGTTCGTGTTTGGGCCTCTGTACTATGCTTTAAATTTAATAAATAAGTGAACCTACGTAGCTTCCTTAATTTCTTTGATGCCTGCCAGAAACATGTTGGCAATGTCTTTCTCAAACGACCTCACTCTCTTCCACTCTAGAGGCAATTCCCTTCCTTCACTGGTTGATGCAGTGACACGGAGAACCCAATATGTCTCCGGTTTGAATGTCTGAATCTCATCATGTCGCTGGACACAGAAACCTAGTGTGGGAGTCTGGCATGGTCCATATGAAATTAGCGATGCGTCCAGATTACCATATCGTCCTAAAACACAAATTTAACTTATAAGTGGTCAGTATTAATGGATTGTTTGATTTCTTAAACAACCTACAACATTATTTCACAGCAATAAATAGTGTACGGCCTTCTTGATAGCCCCTGTTCTTCATACCAAAATTCATTAAATATTTGTTATTTATGTAAAATACGAAAAAATATGTGCAGCTTACTTGGTGGTAAACAACCTCAATGACCTTAGATGCTTACGCTAAAAACTTTACTGAAAAAAACATTACACTTTCAAAGTTTCAGTGTTTCAGTTATGCTGTGCTCTATCTCTCTTAAATATGTTCCACCAGTTAGGTGTGAAAGTGAAAGTAGATTAATAGTTAAATAAATTAAATCATTTGTATGAAAAAATGTACATTATCTGCCACATACTGTCATACTCTTAATGCTCTGCCAGACCAGCTAGATACATAACACAAACCTATGTTATATTTAAATGTAATGCGATACATTTGGCATTAGCAGGTATATTTTAAAAAGCCATTGAAAAAAAATTTTTTTTAATAGGTTCTAACCTGTGTCTGCAACTTAATCCACATCATAGTTAGTTATTTTAGAATCCTTAGTAACTTGACATTTTTTGTACCATAAAAAATATCTTTAGTTTAATAAAAAATATCACTATACTACTCCTATCCATTTTTGCCTGTTTGGGAAACAAACACACAAGCTTTCATATTTATAATATTTTTGTGATTTATTCCTATAACAAACCAAAAACATTGTGTATACCTTGAAAATACTTAGTCTGAAATCTTGTGAATGCACAGCCAATGCGCAAATCCAATTCCTGACGAGCATCTACACTACGAGACTGGTTTTCATTTGGCCTCCCTAAGTTCAGCATGGCTGCTTTAATGTCTTTATCGGTTATAGCAGAGAAATGCGCACGATATGTTACCAAAGGAGAGAGAACATCTCCCTTCATATATGGTTGTACACAACTCATAACCTGAAAAAGATTACAGATGCGAGTATACATCAGTCCTTATATTTAGAGCCTATTTAAAAGTAGCCTCGTCTAGATGTGCTTTATTAAAGATTCATTTCGATACCCACCTCAAAACAAATATTCTCCCCTTCTTTGTCACAATCCAGCCACAATATGAGGTAATCACACCCTCTTGACTCCTGAGCCAAAAAAGCGGGAATTCTCAGACGTGGCATGGCTTCTTTCTTTTCTGTGGGGCAACAGAACAGCTCAACTGGATCCACTTTGTCCCAGTTGTTGTATTTACCGGTAAAATCCAAACTCATTACATGCCCACACACAGAAGTCATTTTGAATCTTACGGGCTCATTCTTGAAAGTGCCATTCCACTCGTGCACCGCACAGGCGTTGTTGGAAGCTAAAACAACAATCAAACAGTGAACAATATTTTTATAAAGTATTTCTTTATATGGTTAAGCTGTTACTTTTCTTCTGTTACCTTTATTCGTACTGCATTTGCCATTACTGAGTATATTAGCCAGATTTTGAGCCAAAGATGGCTTTTCAGCCACCATCAATGCTGATTTCATATTGTTAAGTTTTTAATTATTTAACTCATGAATCTACACCGAAACTAATTAAAATTGAATTGAAATATTCGCACCGACATACACGCACAGCGGCACACAGATGAAATTTTTGTATTGACATTTGACCTTTTTTTTTTGGTTAAGTTCTCCCTTTTCAGTGAAGGCAAGGGGAACAATGCCCATACAGCCTAGTCTTAAGTTAAATTATTCTATTTTTCTTTTTACATTAGAATGTCGGTGTGACGCAGTCTAATGTTTCTTGAAGTGTTTGGTGCGAAATGTATCGAGCTGGCTTTTTTGATAAGCTTCTGTGAGGTAGTTAATACTACAATAAAATTCCCACGTCCACTTGACCGGAATAGCGTATATTTTGACGATTCTACTAATTCTTCAGTTACGCAGACAGTTGTAACACAAAATCACACCAATTTTATTTCACAATATCCACTATGAACGAATTTAAGAATAATTAAAATAAGACGCCAACCACACTCGATGAAATCTCGCGAAAAACTCCTTTGACTTTTTTTTTATTATTATAATGGCTCGCACGGTTTGTGCATTGGCCACAACAGGGTAAAAGGTAAGGAAACCAAAATAATGAAATAAAAAGGTTGTCAAACGGAATTTGGAAGGATTAGGATCAGGTAGGTACGTAAAATTAATTTGAAACGTAAGTAATAGGTCTTTTTAAATATATAAAATACATTATATTATTTCTAATAAATTACTTATAATTTTATATTATGTTTAGTTAGGAATTCAGATAGCTTGTTATATATATTATAATTTTTATAATACAATAAGGAAGGAATAGAAGTAGGGAGACGTACATTAAGGGATATTAATGAATCCATAAAAGAGGAGGAATCATTGAGGGGACACTCGAAGAAGATGTGATTCAAGTCCTCTGCTCCAGTACCACAAGCACAAATATTATCATTTACTATGCCCAGTTTAGCCAGGTGGGAAGAAGAACAGTTATGACCTAGGCGCATTCTTATGAGACTTGATGTGGCAAACTTACTTAAATGAATTTTAGAAAACCATGGTTTATCGGGAATACATTGTTGAATTAATTTATAATGTTTACCTTTGATGCGACTACTAGTATCCCAATTTTCTTCCCAAGATATGCGTAGATGCACTTTAGGAAGTAAAAGATCATTTACTAAATTTTTATAGGGAAAGACGTCACCACAATTCATTGAATCTTTAGCGAGTTTATCAGCTACTTCATTGCCAGTGATGTTATGATGGCCAGGTATCCACGCAAAGAGCACATTTAGATTCTTCAAAGTACAATTCAGTAATAATTTCCTACAATCGATCAAATAAGCATTAGAGGAAGAAGCTTTAAAAGGAAATTTTTCTATTGCCTGTAAAGTGCTTTTGGAATCGGAAAAAATAATTGTCTTTTTGAGTTGTGCAAGCAAAATGTATTCTAATGATTTAAGGATTCCATAACATTCTTCTGTGTATACTGAGGTTTCTGGGGGTAATTTAATTTTTTGTGTTATTTTATACTGTTGGTGGTAAACACCGATTCCAACTATCCCAGTAGATGGATGTTTAGATGCGTCACAGTAAATGTAATGCCAGTCTGGCCATTCTGTATTAACAATACTCATTAGATTAATATTAGCATTTTTATCATTACGTAAAGAGTCTAGATAAATTACTTTGGGTGAAATGGTAAGAGCTTCATAATTAATAGAAAAAATAGGAAGATATTGTGATCGGTGGGTGGGTGCTAGCAGTGAAGTAAATTTAATGATTACCAAGCAAGGAAGCGACTTGTTATTCCAATATGCCGAATTATTAATTTTACGCAATAAATGGTGTAACTTTTTAAAAAGAGGGTGGTCAGAAAGTTGAAGAGCTCTAAATAGAAATTTATCACATAAAAATTGTCTCCTTAGTTTTAAAGGAGGATCCACACATTCAACCTGGAGTGCATTAATAGGGCTTGACTTCATGGCGCCAGTTACAATGCGAAGAGCTTTAGACTGGATGCCATCTAACTTACTTAGTGCTAATGCACTACAGGGCTCCAGAAAGCAAATTCCATAATCAAGGATACTTCTGATAATAGCATTATATATTAACTTTTGTGTTGATGGATGAGCTCCCCACCAAACACCAGATAGGCATCTTAAAATGTTTAATAATTTTTCACATCGAGCTGATACATAATAGCAATGTGATAAACCAGTTAATTTGGAATCTAGAATGATTCCTAGAAATTTAGCTTCATTACACACTGGAATTATGTCATTACCATAATGTACAGAAAATGATCGGGGTGATCGTATTCTTGTAAATAAGACGGCACAACTTTTAGAAACAGAAAGACTCAGTGAGTTATTATCTAATCATGATTTTAAGAGTGTTAACACATTACTTAAAGATTGACTTAATTCAATAATAGATGATCCGGATACATAAAAAACCAAGTCATCCGCATATTGTAAAATGTTAGCTCTGTCTGCGATGTAAGACTCCAAATCATACGTATAGACATTGTACAGTAAAGGGCTCAAAACCGAACCTTGAGGTAGTCCTCTCCATGTCAGCCTAGATTTAAAATTGCCATCTCCCATATCTATTTTTATCAATCTTTCCGAAAGAAGGTTAATAATGAAATCGATCAAAAACAAAGGAACTTCTAGTTTTATAAGTTTGTTTTTTAAGATTTGAATGTCCACATTGTCGTAAGCACCAGATATATCAATAAATGCAGCAAGAAGGGAATGATTATTTGAGAAGGCTAATCTGATATCAGTGGTGAAAATGCCTATGCTATCCATGGTGCTTTTACCTTTTCGAAAGCCATACTGGCTGGAAGCAAGAAGAGCTTTTTTTCTAAGAACGAAGATTTTCTACGAAAGAAGAAGATTTTCTAAGAACCATTCCAATCTGTTCTTAACTAAGTGTTCTGCTATTTTAGAAAGAACTGAAGCCAGAGCTATAGGTCTATATGAATTTGGATCTGCAGGAGGTTTATTATGTTTCAATAAGGGAATTAATTCCTGAGTTTTCCATGATATAGGAATTTCGTTATTAACCATAATAGAGTTGATCACTTGTAATAAGTAAATAAGACTATCGTCACTTAAGTGGGATATGAATGAATAGGGGATTCCATCGCACTCAGGGGCAGAATCTTTTACATAGGACAAAACACATTTTAGTTCAGTTAGGCTAAAAGGAGAGTTGAGGCCGTGGTCATGAGATAAATTATCAATCGTGTTGTTAATAGATTTGAATAAAGGTGTATTATCCGGGGAAACAAAAGGGGGAGCTAATTTATCGAGGAACTTATCAGCCACTTCCTCATTTATGAACTTCTGAGTTGGTTCTCTGAACGCCGATCTAAATCTTCGGATATTAGTCCAAATAGCAGATGGGGAAATATCAGGGGCCAAGGAAGAACAAAATGCCTTCCAACCATCCCATTTTTTTTTCTTTAGTAGTTTACGAGTTTCATTTATTATTTGCGAAAGTTTGTCAAAATTGTCATTTGTACTGTTATTATAATAATTTTTTTCAGCTACTTTTCTACGCTTTATAGCTGCTGTGCATTCAGATTCCCACCAAGGCGGTGAGGGAATATTTCTATTAGATTGTTTACGCAGAAAGGTCGAATCAGCAGCCTCTATTAGAACCAACGCAAACGCATCTGCGCACATTGTTTGATCATTAAGCTGAACGGCGGGAAGAGATGATACTTTTTGCGCTACTAGCTCCCTAAACTTCTCCCAGCTGTCACTGTCATTGTTAATTCTATGTTTCAGTCTAGGTGAACGTTTAGGACGCGATTTTAAAACTGTTTTAGGGAATGATATTAATATGGGGAAGTGGTCACTGCCGAAAGTGGAGGAAAGCGTGCTCCATGAAAAGAAAGAAGCTAAATTGGGGGTGGAGATAGATAAATCCGGGGCGCTTATGCCTTCATTAGGCTGTGTGCGTCTAGTCGGATCGCCAGAGTTTAAAATACAAAAGTTATTTTCATCAACAATATCTAAAATTCTAGCGCCGTAATAGCTTGAGCTAGAACTACCCCAAGATCGATGTTGAGCGTTAAAATCACCCATTATCAAAATAGGTTTAGGTAATCGCGATAGAATAGCTGCTACTTCATCATATATAGAGGATGACGGATGAGGAATGTATATTGACACAAAGCATTTATTTTGAACCATACGAGTAATATTAAAACTAGGAATAAATGCTTTGTAGTTATGCTGTTTCAAAGCTTGATTGTCAATGAAAGCATTTGCATCTTCAAAATGAATAAATGACAAAAGTTACCGACTCCTTCCAATTCTTTTAAGGCTTCCATTGACAATATTTTTAATGTTGTTCTTTTTGAGGAAATGGCCAAACGAAATGGGGTGAATAGAGGTATTATCACTGGCACTGGTCTGTTCCCTCTGAATATGTATAATATACGGGGCGGCATCTGATGCCTGATACAGGTTTCTACTTACTTGGCTTGGATTAGAGTTATTTACATTTATTATTTCTTGTGATACTGGAGCAGTAGGAATTTTGGGAGATTTAAATTTAGTGGGGAGGTTTTCTTCAAAATGACTATTATCGTCAGTACACTGACAATCTTTTTCATTAAAAGTCACTGAGGAGGATTTGTAATGCCTTCTCTTTTTGTTGCAATGCTTACAAATTTATCGGGATGAGACTCGTTTACGTTTGTTGTTATTTAAGTTGTTATCAGAAGCATCAGTGTCAATTAAAGAGCCCTCTGTTTCCATTTCTTTTTCATTATAATCATATGGAATTGTAGCAATATGCGACACCTGGGGGGCTGTTCCCCGAGGGTCTAAAGGGTCATTCATACGTAAGAAATGTTAAAAACTTACCAATACATCGAATATAATTATACACTACTAATAAATCACATTAATATTATAAAGGCGAAAGTTTGTGAGTGTGTATGTTTGTTACTTCTTCACGTCTAAACGGCTGAAGCGATTATAATAAAATTTGGTATGGAGTTAGCTGACACCCTAGATTAACACATAGGCTACTTATATCCCGAAAAAATTTTAGGTTCCAGAGGGATTTTCATGAAACTAAGTTAACGCAGACGAAGTCGCGGGCGACCTCTAGTATTAAAATATACACAAAACTAAGGACCTATCTGATCCCAATGACTAATAATAGAAATAAAAATTCTTGCCAAAAAGTACGTCCGCCTAAGTTGAAGGTTTCCTGCGCTTTTTCGACATTTGACTTTCTTCATGTTATTGACAAATTGAATGACAGATTAACGTTCGCGATTACCAATGATAGCGATTGAAACGATTTATAGAAAACCGATTATTTGAATTGTTACGTTATTATGACACATACGTGTGGATTCTGGCATGATTTTCTAAACATAGACTAAATTTAATATCATTCTAAATTTTTGCTAAATTTAATTATTTTAAGAAATATGATTAGCTTATAAAAAGTTGGAAATAAAAACATTTCTAACTAATAGGTATTAAAACTGCTTCATAGAAACAAAACCACATAAAACAAAGGAACAAATAATACATTAAAGTCTAAAGTACCTACATTTAAAGTCAAAACAACATTTGGATTGCAATTGGTGATTGGTATGCAAATCACTGACACCATACCTCTATTATCTTGTTAATTATTTGACTATGTACTTTAGATGTAAGTAGGATATGTAAGTATTACTTATAGAATTAGTACATAGATTTTTTACCTTTTTAGGTTCTTTTTATATGAAGTGGATTTTTATTTATGTTATATAAGATTTTACCTTAAATTATTTAGTATTTTATACAAGATATACGTGTACATTACCTACGAAAGACCACAATAGCGCAAGTATAACGCTTTCGTTCTGCAATCGTGAATGTTAAGCAATTTTCACAATGGCCGATCTGAGGATGGGTGACCAACCCAAAATGTATTAAATCGAGTTCCTATGTTGCTGCTCGCTGCAGCTCGGATTTATTATAAGCATGACACAAATCCGCATCGTAACATAGACCCACCTACCTTTTTAAAAAAAATAAAAGATCTAGCTAATATATTATTATCACCGTCGTTGTTCATTATTGTATAAAATTTATGTCTTTTTTTAACGAAATAAACCCATATCCAACCTTAAAAACAGGTTCAAAACTTAAGTACAGCAATCATTTACGTGATATTTGGCCCCAATTATTCACATTTAAATTTAGAGAGGACCTCCGAATACCAAATTGAATTTGACAACTCTATATCTAATTTTAGTTAGTTTTAGATAAAAGTTGGCACGCCAGAATTGGGCCCAGTATTTCAGATAAACGGAATAGATTGTGACATGAAAAAAGAGAATTAACATTAAAAGTCTGTGGTGTCACAAAATCTCTTCATTGCCTAGTCTGTGGCCATTAAAAAGAAAAATACCCCAATGTGTGACTGTGATGTGATGTGAAAAGCCTTGAAATATGCAATGCGTGAAAAACCAATAAGCACAACATAATAATTTTATTGTATGTAGAATTTATTTATTATTTGTTCAAGAAAACGTCAAATAGCTGTTCGTCACTACGTAAGTGGATTCCTCGTCTCCATCATGGTAAGTGTGCATTGTTTACGATTGTTTATTTATGTAACTGCTAACGTAGTATATTGTTTAAACAAAAACCTTTTTTTATATTATTGCAGAGCCATAATAGAGGAGACAATATATGCCCGCCGGTTCCCCTTCGGGTGATATTGCCCACGGCCTTAGAACCCAATATGCCACCTCCATTTGACATGGGTGAGTAAATATAGTAGATAATTCTCCTATCGCACTGAGTATTCATTAGGTGTCACCACGTTATCTTTACATTCGATACATGATTGTTTCCTAATATAACTATCAGGAAACTTACTAAGATAAAACACAACAACAACACTATCACAGAATTAAATTTAAAACTGCTTCTATAAATAATTTGCAGGAAAATTTATTTTTTTCTAGTGATATTTAATTATGTATTATCTTACATTATAAATAGGAGAGATTTGTATGTCTGAATAAATAAACTCAAAAACTATTGGATCAATTTAATACATTGAACACCAACCCCAATGGATAAATATACTTTTAACAAACAATAAATACATATAAATCTAATAGGTACCAAACATATCCATGTTATTTTTCTTTTCATAGAACTTGGAACTAGAATTTATTTCCTTTTTATTCCAACAACATATTTACAACACTGTCTGACCATTCAATGGTAATATGTATTTTTTAACCATTCAATGGTAAAATGCCATTTTGGCTTTAGGTATTGACTTGTGGCATTTTGACTTATTTATTTTTCTTAATTGCTCTGTATTGATTTCAGCAAGCATTCATGAAATACCTCCCCCACAAGCAGATTTCTCTGCCCCGCCTCCATATGATGTGGCAGCTAATTCGAAATTACCCACATATGAAGAAGTACAAAGGGAGAAACAGATTGAGGGCGAGAACATGACCCAGGTATAATTTATATTTGACATCATCTTACAATATTAATAGGTAATAGAAGAGTCATCATCATCACCGGGCTACTAATGTCCCTACTGCTGGAGCACAGGCCTTCCCTAAGGACTGAATAGGGAGATTGTGGCATGACCTACCACATGGGCCTGGTGTAGATTAGTGGGTGCTTACAACTATACATTCAACCGGGACCAAGAACATAATGTGCTTGAGATAATAATTTTTATGGTCACTCATCTGATCACTGACCATTGCATAAGTCGATTAACTTCCACAACCCCTCAGTCAAAATCAAGTTCCAAAAATACTAGTTACCTTATCTACTTATCAAGGTTAATATCAGACCCAATTTTATATATTAGATTTCTATAAAAATTATAGTTATAAGCAGGATTACTACCATGTACCTTGTTTTTTGTACACAGTGATATTTCGGCACTGGTGCAAATGCCATGATCATTGAGTTAGTTGGTACTCCAAAGTTATTGACAATGAAAGTTTAAAACAATATATTACTAGAAAAAATTCCATGTGGACCAGGCAGCAGATGGGACTCGAACCCGCACCCTTTGCTATCTGGGCAACTGCACTGACCATTATGATTATGCTACCGCGGCCCTGATGGCCGTGTCGAATTTTCTCTATCCTTTCTTAAGCTGCAAGGCAGCTCCATCTCTTCGCATTGTAGAGTTTAACCATTGAGTCCCGTCTGCTGCCTGGTCTGTGTGAATGTTTTCTAGTAAAATTTTCTTTATATATAAACAACTAGTAGTTAAATTGTTAACAAATACCTATAAATATATGACTATATAAAACTTATTTTTTCGCCTTATATCATTGTACTGCAAGTTTTATTTATACAGCAGTTCCCATCACTTTTAAATTTACCAATATTAGTTCAGTTGATAGTTGAGTCAATATTTGTTAGGCTTGACATAGCAATCATCTCATCTACCAAGTCTAGTTTTTTTTAATATTTCCCCTTAAATATACTTTATATAAGTACCATTACATTATATACACTCGTGAGCAACCAAATCAACTCAAGCGCTAGCTCTGCATTCAAACATTGTTTTAAGTAAAAGTATACAACATTTTAATAAAATTATGTCATTTGAAAGCTTGAAACTTAAGGGTTTTATACTTTTTTTTTTATTATTGGTGTCTGAACTTAAATGGGGGAACAATGGAATTATAGATAAAGGAGTTGTGTTCAGAATTGACACAAAAAAAGCATGTTTTTTCTTAGGAAGTATTAAATTTATTCGATGATGACTGATGTCGTTTCAGGGTCATGGTCACAAATGATTGAATCCGAATTTCCAATAAGTGATAATAATTTATTTCCAATGAGTTGATACATCATGAACACATTAATTAATTAAATTCTACAAAATTTCAAACAATCGTAGATACATAACATAGCTAATAAAAGGTGTAATTTTTTTATTATTTAAGACTAAACATAACGATACTATAGCATTGACTGTGGGTCCCACACTAGGAGGAACCTGTATCGTGGGCATCCTCATATTATAAATAATATAGCGTCACCATTAATACTTTATATGCAATTATTATTTGTAACAAAACAAACGTAATGAAATCAATTAAAAGTAACTAAAAGAAATCAATTTTGTATGTATGTGTATGTCTGTCTTTGTGTGTGTGTGTGTGCGTGTGTATGTGGAGAAGAATAGATATAGTATGGGAGAGGAATATATCGATGAGATGTTGGGCTAATTTTGAGTGCTTAATAAAGTCCTTTGTTTGAAGGTAGGTCATGCACTTCAGCCTATTAGTGAGCACGCGTAATAGGGAAGATGCATATATAATATTTATGAAAATTTTATGACTAAAATGTTAAAAAAATATAAAAGAAATGCCACTGCAACGTTTTTATTTTACATAATTTTGTTTTTTAACAATTATTACGAATTAAAAATACTTGAAACGGAACGTATTTTAAAACACCAATCAGCGTTTAGTGACGTCACTCCTGTAATGACAACTTCTTTGAGGTTATGGTTGTTAAAGTAAATATTATTTTATGGGAAAATTTATTGCGTTTTTTTACATTTAATAAAAATGGAAGTTGCGTTTATCAAAGCAGACTCCAGGAATAGGCTAGTTTACTCATGTCGAATTGTATTAAATAAATGTTTATTTCTTAAAGTATTTAGTCTAAGGAACCTTAATATATCGATTTCACTTCATAAAAACAGAAGATTGCTGTAGAAATTTAATTTAAAAAAATATTTTTTAGTCTATATTTTTTAAACACTAAAAACGCTGTTCGCCACATCCGCCATGATTTTGACGTCTCTTGTGGTAAACAACTAAATGTCATTCGCGTGTTACTGTAGGTGGATTCTTTCGTCTGACTAAATTTATCTTAAAACACTTTTAACTTTAGGAAAGAAAAAAACAGTAAAGTTAGTTTTTTTTGACAAAACTAATTATGGATGCCGGCTTTGTGAAAGCAGAAAGCACAAATCTGCCAAGAATTGACGCATTGATGGTTGGTGAATTTGTAGCACTTAACCCCGATTTCTGCTCTGCGGAGCAGAGAAACGACAAGGCATCTATGTAAGTACAGTGCATTTAGTATTACAATGTAGTAATAAACATAAAACTGATACAACATATGAATAAGTGTAATAAAGTTGTGTAGGTTAATTTCTTTCGGCACTTTAATCCACAACTTTCCTGGAGTCTTCAAGGATGTGTTTTTATATTCTCGTACAATACAGTAATGATAATTACTTTATTTTTCGTGGTATTTATTAGAAATCATGTTTTTTTTTTATTATAAACTCAGATAAAAGTAATTTTCTACGTGTTTACGAGTTTTTGTTTACCACAGTTCACGTCATAGCATAGATAATCTATAGACTAAAATGGCCGACAGCGTTTTTGTATGTCCATGAAAAGTCTATTTTAAAATTAAAGATTTGTAGCTTTCTAGGTTTAAAAAAAATATAATACATTTTTTTTCGGTCTAATAGAACATTAATTAACCATTTAAAACCTTTTTCCAAAAAGGGTCAACTAGCCTATTTACCAAGAGTAAGCGTTAACATGGTTATAACTTTTTTTGTCCAAAGTGCAGAGTTTTTAAGTGTATGTAAAAATCGTAGTTTATTCGTATTTTATTCAGCGGCTTCTACAAATCTTACGGCGATAATGCAATCGGCTATGTCCAAATTAAAAGAGATGGAAAATTATGTACAGTAAAAGGTCGAGTTCTCCGGAGCATAAACTACGTAAAGAAGGTTATCGTGTTACAGTTATTTTAAATGAAACGCAAAGCTTGGTTCAGTCCTGCCAATGTGAAGATTGTGCCACACATTTTAAACTTTATCTAATTTTCGACGTCATTCTCTAACTGTAAAATTAAAAATATGTTATAGACAGGTTTTGTAAGTATTAGGTAGGTTACTAATGCGTTTTTACGTACAAGCAGATTAATTAAGCATATAACAAGTATATTCGCCAACTTACGTCAAAGTGATCTTCTCAGCATCGAATAATGGTCTTTGGAGAATAATTGTCATTTCTCTTCGCAGCTTGAAACCACTTTTTTTTCAGTTTTGGGTCAGAAGTTCCAGTCAAAAACAATTTATTTGGGAACTTTGTTGAAGTAGATTGGCACAAAACATGAGTCAACACGGCTTTTTTTCGGAATATTAGTGGTATTGTTATGATCACATGATGTTGATGGATAGTCCATTTTAAATTTTTCAAAAAAATATTTCGAAAGTCGAAAAAATATGCAAAAGTATGAAAATTTAAACCTAGCAACGAACAATTGCGACCAGTGACAGACAGGAGTGACGTCATCGCAACCATAGGTTCGTTTTCGCGCGAAAATTTAAATTGTCAATTTAAAACCGCATTTTTTCCGATAAATCACAATGTTTTAATTTTTTAATAAATCTGTGGTTTATTCTACATGGAATTCTTTGAAATGAAAATAAAAATATTGCATCTTCCCTATTCGATATCAAACATTCCGTATATGCACGAAAGTCGCCGCAATTTATGGTTTAATGAACTTTGCCCCGCGCTTTATTCGGGATATTTTCCCGCAGTAAAACGTAGCCTATGTGTTAATCCAGGGTGTCAGCTAACTAACCATATATAAGCCATACCAAATTTTATCAAAATCGCTCCAGCCCTTTAGACGTGAAGAAGTTACAAACATACACACACACTCACAAACTTTCGCAGTTATAATATGAGTGTGATAATGCTTAGGTACAGGACCCGCCACCCCATCACCCTACGTACGCAGCGTTTGTTACGCTGCCCGAGCCAACCGCCGAGCAACTCGACCCGGAGAACAGTCTGCTGGGAACAGACATCATGTTCCTCACGTCCTTTTTCGGTATGTAGATTTATTATGTCATGATACTAAAGGCACAGATTAGTGAGGTAGGGGAAACTGGGGATGGTTCTCCATGATGCTCTTTTTTTTGGTTTAACTGTTCATTATTGTAAAATTAAAACATCTGATGGGTGCACTGTTAAGGTTTTAAACCAGTGATACAAATCTCTCAATCAATTATGATATATTGTACACGCACTATTTCGTAGAATATGAATTATAATTCAGTCTACCCCATGACTGGGGGGATTAATTAGAAGGGCTGTGAAGTTAGCAACGAGCGCAACTAGTAATTTTCAGTTCAGTGACATCTTGCGCGCGCCTAAATCACACTACATTTCGTTTACTGTACCGCAACTCTCGTTAATTTCACAGCCGCTATTAAGTTTGAATCGCACTATAGCCCGTTTATATTCAGCAAATTCGCGTGACATTTGGCAAGGATATGAAATGGGAATCGCTCTCTAAAGCTAAATGTATTTGACAGTTGCGTTCCTATTCAACTGGATCGGCTTTCTTCTACTGATGTGCTTTTGCCACACGGTGGCGAGCCGTTACGGGGCTTTGGCCGGGTTTGGCCTGTCTCTGGCCAAATGGACGCTCATCGTGAAGCATTCCACTGAACTCGCCTCGCACGAGAACTCGTGGTTGTGGTGGCTCATCATGGCGTTCGGTGAGTCTGTAACTCCATAGACATATACAGGTTGTTGTCTGTAACACATACACAGTGACTTCTAGTCTCTAACACACATATACCATAGACAATTAGTTCTCATGTTTAACTCCCATACACATCTTCAATAAGTTCTAGTCTGTAACTCACATACACAGACAATAACTTCTAGTCTCTAACTAACACACATACAAGGTGGGTGGACCATGGAAGGCCATGCTCCTTTGAAGGGCAATTTAAAAAAAGTCATAGTTATTGTCATGTGACGATAAATTCCTCCTACACACATTAAGCTCTATCAAAAGAAAAACAAAACATATAATTTCATTCCAAAAAGCATTGGCAACTTATTTGTTGTTGATATAATACTCAAAACTATATTTTTTAGATATTTTTCCTAAAATTATTCTCAGTTATTTCATAGTGTTCAAGGAATAGTCGTTGAGTTTTTTAAAGAAGATTATAATCTGTTAAGTATTAATGTTACGTTTAAATGAAAAAGCTTTTTACGTAGTTTTAGTAAAAGCGGATATTTCTATAATTAGAACTCTAGTTTAAGTTGAACAACTTATTTATAATATTGGCCTTGTATAGAGACCTGTTCCTAGTAAGGCCGGGCTTAAGGCTTTAAGGAAGAGCTTAATAAAAGTTAGGTTTAATAAATAGTGATGACATTTAGATTAAAAACAAGTAATTTATATGTTACACAATAAAACAAAGCGTTGATTAATAACTAATAAAAACTGTTCATTCGTTAGAGTGGCCTTCCATGGTCCAACCACCTCGCATAGAGAATAACTTCTAGTCTAGAACTAGTTCTAGTCTCTAACTCCCACACACACACACACACACACACACACACACACACACAGACATTAGGTTCGGCGAAGACTGACCAGGGGGTCAATTGCCTATCGGGATTCTATCGCTATCGCATACAATTTCATTTTGTTATTTTTGACCACCGACGGTTCTCAAAAACCTGACGCTCATTTTGTTTAATATTGTTATTACCAATGCAAAAGAAAAAAAACGAGCGCGCTGCAATGAGGGCTACCGTTTTCTGTCTCACCAGATGGCGCCAGTGTTGAGTGAGGTCCTAAATTGTAACTTTTAAAGTTTATTAATACGCACATGAAATCAAAGGTTACATTTAGATCGTAATTTAACACAAAAGAACCATATCTTAAACATAATAGGCCATGTCACAGTGACGCCCAGTTCCGTTTTATTCGGAAAAAATGGGAACATAATCATTTTTCTAAGCTCAAATTTTTAATAACTGACATTCATTGCCACATAACTCATATTTGCCATAATTAAGCCGAATTGTTACCAATTATTCACAACATTATTTTAATAAGAAATAAACCCGCGTAGTCAACCAACAAGCAAATGTCAAATGACATTTCGGAGACCTCACGCTACACTAGCGCCTCTAGCGGCGGATTCATACGCGATAGCCCTCATTGATAACCTTCCGCGGTCAGAACTAATAAAATGATATCGAAAGCGATAGCCATAGTCATAGCAATCCCGTTAGGCGATTGGCCCCCAGTAGTCGCGTTAGATTTTGTAAAAGCAGTGATGAAGTCATTTTTTGTCTTCTTTTTATTGGCTTTAATTTTAACTTCAACTATTATTTAACCGACTTCAAAAAAGGGGAGGTTCTTAATTCATCATCAGCAGCCTTTCAAAGTCCCCACTGCTGGGGCACAGGCCTTCCCTATGGATGGAATGGAAAGATTGGGCCATGACCTAAACCGACCTATGATGATGCAGCTGGGACCAACGGCTTAACGTGCCTTCCTAAGTACGGAGGAAGTCAAGATAGAAGATTTTTGGTCACCCATCCAATGACCGACCATTGCGAAAATAGCTTAACTTCAACGATCGCAGAACGCGCTAGCCACCCGCGCCATAGAGCACCTCGTTCTTAATTCGTCAGTAAATATTTTAATCCAAGATCTTGTTTGACAGGTATCCTAATCTGCGTTCGCGCAATTATACAATACCTGAACATTAAGCGCGGGTGGCGTCTTCTATCGGGCACCGCTCAAGAGAGACTTCTGTTCTTCTACTAACTCGTTCTATCTCACTCGCACAAGCGGAACAGGGCTTAGTAGAGAGGGATGGAAAACGTGTACGTTTCTTCGTGTAGATAATAGAGCATAGAGGTATAAGAATAGAGTAGGGGAGATATGGACTCTACTACAAGTGGAAGTGTCCCTCCAATAGAAAGAGAAAGAAGAAGAAGAAGAAGAGAGGCCGTTAGCTTTCTCTCTCTAATCGCACATGCGAATTAGCAACCGAAATCATCTTACTATTTTGATGTGATGCTTTTACCAACTATTGGACAGACGACTGCGCATGCGTCACAAGAGCGAGAGATAGCTAGCGGTCTCTCATCTTCTTTCTCTTTCTATTAGACGGACACTTTTAGAGCCGCCTTCCCCACTCTATTGTTGTACCTCTATGTAATAGAAATAAATAATTGTCATTCTCTTGTTGTCCTAAATTTGCTACTTAATGATTGGAAGATTTCTGCTAAAGTTGTCTTTGATAGGAAAATGATCTTTAACTCTTTTGCGATGGAGACTATTTTCGTGTGTGTGTGATGTCATGAAATGACTGTCATATAGCTTGTATTGCGATGGCGTTCTTTAGGGTTTTTTAGTTGGTTCAGATCATGGAATAATAATATTCATGGAAGGAAAGATAATTTAGAAACTGTTTGGCTATATCGGTACCGTCCTAATCACAACTTAAGTCAAACGCGTGTAAAAGTGACAGTAGATCATAGCTTGTCCAAGATGTGGTTTGGACCAAAAGAACTATTTTGGTTAACTTCATAAACAGTAAAACCCGTTTAAGACGATTTCACAGGGACTCAACCAAAGACGCGTTTTAAGCGGGAAAGCGTATTAATGTTATGAAGAATGTAGTGTATTATTTATTATTACGTTATTTAAATTAATCGCTTATTTTAGTTTGTCAAAAAGATTTTGAGGCATTAGCAATTACAAGATTTTAAACATACTTTAACTTTTGTATTGCGTCTTCGCTATGATTCAAAGAAGTTATATAGCGTCTTAAATCATTAACTGCTGATAATGCCTGGGAGTGTGACAAAATTGGAGTTGACTCATCTTCTTCTTGATCACTATCACTTAGGGCATCTTCTTGTGTGTTATTCACATTCTCATTAAATTTTATACCACATTGTCATCAATAGAAGAATATCCAGGAAAACCCTGGGGACCGCTTAGTGTGTGTTGCTCGACAGTCGTCACGTCTATCGCTGGCCGCTGCCGCAAGAGGTAATATGTGTGGTACGTGTTCGCGATTTAGGCGTATTAAACGGGATGACGAATCGTATTAAGCGTTAAGAAATGTCTCTAGTTGCAGGGACTGACGTAAAATGGCGTATTATGCGAGAAATCGTATTAAGCGTGATCGTATTAAACGGGTTCTACTGTATTTAAACATTGAAAGGCGTTTAAAAGAAAAACTTTGTTTCAAATGTTGGCAGTTATAATATAACATTGAGTTAGAGATTTAAGTGTTTTTACAATTTTTAATAATTTTTGATTCTAAAGAAAATATTACTAGAATAAATTCCACGCGGACCAGGCACCAGGCGGGACTCGAAGCCGCACCCTTTAATATACGAGCGAATGCAAAGTAATATTTTCTTTAGATTTAAACATCGAGCAGTTACTCGCTTAAAAAATAAAAATTATAGCTACTTTTTTATTGTTGGCCAACTTTCGAAATGACGAAGGAAAGGCGCAATATCTATCTCTTTCTAATACATTATCGAGCTTATTGGTGAAAGTAGGATGGACCGAATGCATATTGTTGCCATTTTTGCATTTCTTCAATGTAAATTATTATTCTATGTGTTAGATTCTGGCATGATTCCCTAAACCTAAACTTAAATATGACAACAGTGTACCCTAGTCGTTCTCTATAAAGTATGAAAAGGAGAGACTGATGTTAAATTTAGTTTTAAGTTTAGAGAATCATGCCAGAATCGACACCAATATCTAGTTTTTATCATCCTACCTATGATAAGTGCAAATGATGTAAGTATAAATGTACATTTGGTTGTGTTTATCTATTTAAACTGCTCAATAACTGAAGTAACAGATTAGAATGGCTTATTTTAACGTCTTATCATTTTAATGCGGAGTTTAAACCGTAAGATGTAATCAACTTTGGTATCGATTCTGGCGTGATTTTCGTAAACTCAAAACTAAATTTAACATCAGTCTCTCCTTTTCATTCTGTATAAAGAACGACAGGGATACACGGTTGTCAAATTTCAGTATAGGTTTAGAGAACCATGCCAGAATCGACACCAACATCTGCTTAATTGAAGTAAACTTTTATTTAATCCGTCTTTCTATTCGTTGTTTTTTATTAAACAAAATAGTAACATTTATCTCAATTGATCGTGTTAGTGTGTGTGTAGTGTGTTAGAAACACAAAAATACAATGCTGTACCCTTAGCACGAACCAAAATCGAATTCGTAATGTTTGCGAGTCCGAAATGTCATTGTCAAATGTGTACTGATTTTTAGTTCTCGTTGCGTACTTTGTGGCGCTGCTGTTAAAGTTTTCATACAAAATTTGACATTGACATTTCGCACTCGCAAACTATTCGAATTCGATATTTTTTCTTTTTTATTTTTTGAGTGTGTATGCTGTTGGTCGCAGATGACCTTTACAGCTCACCGGGTTTGGGGACGGTGAGATCCTAAGGGGACCTCAAACCGAGAATTGGCGGGTGCCTCTAGAGGTATTCCAGGCGGATCACTCCCCACGGGGGGAGTCTCCTCTCCGTCTGGAGCCTCTAGACCACTCGAACCTGAGGGGGTCGGCTTAACTCTAGTTACTTTTCGTTACTAGGGCGTCTCTGAGACTCGGACCTCGGCTCTAGTTAGCCGTTGTCGTGGGGGCGGGGAAAAACGCCCAGGTACGTACCTGTACCTGGTATAGCGTGTCGAGTGTAGACCGGGTCTTCGCACTCTTATCCTACGGGTGCGGTGTCTGCCTAATGCTAAGCTAGTATGCACGTTTGCTAGCTGTGTAGTGTTGGTGTTTGTGGCCTGTGTGGGAGGAATCGAATAGGGAAGATGCATATATAATATTTATGAAAATTTTATGATTAAAATGTTAAAAAAATATAAAAGAAATGCCACTGCATCGTTTTTATTTTATATAATGTTGTTTTTTAACAATTATTACGAATTAAAAATACTTGAAACGGAACGTATTTTAAAACACCAATCAGCGTTTAGTGACGTAACTCCTGTTATGACAACTTCTTTGAGGTTATGGTTGTTAAAGTAAATATTATTTTATGGGAATATTTTTTACATTTAATAAAAATGGAAGTTGCGTTTATCAAAGCAGACTCCAGGAATTTACCAAGAGTTAGCGTTGACATGGTTATAACTTTTTTTGTCCAAAGTGCAGAGTTTTTAAGTGTAGAAATGAAAGGGACTAAATTACTACGGTATGTAAAAATCGTAGTTGTTAAACTTCGTATTTTATTCAGCGGCTTCTACAAATCTTACGGCGATAATGTAATCGGCTATGTCCAAATTAAAAGAGATGGAAGATTATGTACAGTAAAAGGTCGAGTTCTCCGGAGCATAAAGTACGTAAAGAAGGTTATCGTGTTACAGTTATTTTAAATGAAACGCAAAGCTTGGTCAGTCCTGCCAATGTGATGATTGTGCCACACATTTTAAACTTTATCTAATTTTCGACGTCATTCTCCAACTGTAAAATTAAAAATATGTTATAGACAGGTTTTGTAAGTATTAGGTAGGTTACTAATGCGTTTTTACGTACAAGCAGATTAATTAAGCATATAACAAGTATATTCGCCGACTTACGTCAAAGTGATCTTCTCAGCATCGAATAATGGTCTTTGGAGAATAATTGTCATTTCTCTTCGCAGCTCGTAACCACTTTTTTTTCAGTTTTGGGTCAGAAGTTCCAGCCAACAACAATTTATTTGGGAACTTTGTTGAAGTAGATTGGCACAAAACATGAGTCAACACGGCTTTTTTTCAGAATATTAGTGGTATTGTTATGATCACATGATGTTGATGGATAGTCAATTTAAAATTTTTCAAAAAATATTTCGAAAGTCGAAAAAATATGCAAAAGTATGAAAATTTAAAGCCAGCAACGAACAATTACGACCAGTGACAGACAGGGGTGACGTCATCGCAACCATAGGTTCGTTTTGGCGCGAAAATTTAAATTGTCAATTTAAAACCGCATTTTTTCCGATAAATCACAATGTTTTAATTTTTTAATATATCTGTGGTATAATCTACATGGAATTCTTTAAAATGAAAACAAAAATAAAAATATTGCATCTTCCCTATTCGATAATGGTTCGTGCTAGGAGTACTGTATCATGCGACAGGGCTTTTCACAATTCGAACGGGATATTATTAATGAACGGAATGATTAGCTAATTATTGGGTCTCGAAGCATTGCATTGTGAATTTGTGTGTTTTTACTAACTGATGATTAAAAGGAGTCACGCTAAACGCGATCGAATAAATAAAAAATCTTAAAGCATTAATTTTATGGGCATGTTGTTACATTGTTCTAAAGAATCCATTTATATTTGCTATTACGAAAATAGTGAGATTTCAAAGGATTCTTTTTGTGTTTAAGATATACACCAGCAAACTTCTCGAGCAATGATCATAGATCAATAAAGCCTGCGCAGTAGCAATTTTACATGCAAAAACATCTACTACGCAAGTTTATTTGTCTGTGGATTTGCAAAAAAAAAATCCGCTACTTATATTTAACATTATGAAATTTATGGTTGCAAATATTTAAAAATATAAAATTGCTGGATATTTTAAAGGCCAATATGATATTTCTTGAAACTACATAAATATTGATATTTTAATTGATAATTGAAAGAAATAAACTGTAAGTACTGGGCCTCTAAACATATAACTGAATATGACAGCAGTATCCAATATCCATACTTTAATTATTAAATTTAAAAGTCTGTCACCTCTTCACGCTTAAACCGCTGATCCGACTTGATGAAATTTGATCTACAGATATTTTGAGTCCTGACAATAGGATATAACATAGTTTTTATACCAGAAATCACATTTAAGGGGGTAAAGAACCCTCTTTGGTTGGTGGAAGTTTCTACGAGTTTTTTTTCACGGTC